GACGTTCGAACGGTGGAATACAGGGAGTAAGTGATTAAATGCCTATTCCCATACCAGAGAAATCGTGTTTTTATCAATTTACACAGGTCTCTATCGACCACCTTGATAACTTATAAGACTCCTCCATACAATATAGAGCTCAATTATTTCAAAAATTAACTAATCAGAAGCCCAATACCATGCAATGACCAATACAACTAACATGAGCATTAATGGGGCGGTGGTAACCTTAGTCGTTGCCACGCTTTCTCGACCAGCCGCGAGTTCGATTCTCGCTTAATGCAATATTGTTGCCAATTTTCTATGACATACCGAACTGCTATTTTCTTTCTAATATTAAACTCCCCTGTGGTCCACTGCCGCCAAAGCTCCGTGCCGTTTTTTTGACTTGTGGATATCCTTCCTGAACCACCGTCCCACCATTTAACTTATGCTTTTCTTGCATACTTCGCCGCATACTATACCCCACGTCGCATCCATCTGAGACTGTGGAGCTGGATGTCAACACGGAGGCAGGAATTTTTCTTTGTTTTTCTTTGTGTATATTCAGAGACACCACGGCCGGAAAAGGATTCGATGCTACTGTGTCTGAATACTAAATTCAAAGTCCAGGCAGTGTAAGAGCTATTTCACGGCTTTCACTGCTTCTCGAGAATCCACCTCTGCTTCTCGTCAGTACTTTTCCCTCCTGTGGTGACTCGAACATGGTCAACCGCATTATCTGCTTGCCAAAACACAGATGCAGCGCCATCTGAGATCCTAGAGTAGATAATCTGGGTTAATGATGCTTTTTCGTATAATAACGCCATTTTCTAGAGGTGATTCGACGTACGTGTATCCCGAATCGCTGCTCCTAAACTGAAACACGTACCCACCAGAGGGAAGTACAGATAGTCCTCCATTGCCGAAGCCAATTTGCTTGTTGGCGTCGTTACTGGGGGAGATGGATTGGGTGGTGGCGTTGTAGTCCTTAATGGACCACTATCATATTCGTTTATTTAAAGACCATAAAATAAATGCTAATAGACGAGGCTTCACCTTCTGGCTGCCATCACCCGTCAAAGGTTCGAGGTTAACGGTATTGTCACTGCTTTTCCAGGTAAGAGCGAGCTTTGCTCCAGAGGGAGATAGGACTCGGAGGTAGAGAATGTAGGTTCCTGCGGAGGGCTTGGACATCTTTAAGTACTCGCTGTGGTTGCTGAAGATAATGGAATGAGGGATAGCTCCTTGAAAAGATTCGCTTTTATATCCGTCCCAGCAGGACTGGTACCCACATATGTACCGACTCGCACCTCGATCTCTGCTCTCTTGCCGTCCGACAAGTCCGCCAACGAGAGGCGCCCGACTGTAAAATGACCAAGAGACTCCTATGCTGATAAATAAAGCTGGAAGTACCCTTTTCGGCGCACTGTGGTAAAAATGGAATGCAGATTTCAATATTTATTCGAGAAGTTACATGTGAGTGGGCCGATGGTATTTGATTTGCATCATCACTATACTGCTCTTCTGTCACGGATGCCAACCAGGTCTGTTGGATCCAGAGCACTCTGTGGGACTTTTAGATTTCGAATAAGAGTTCTCATTGCTCGGGATGGTCAAGGCAGCTTTTCGGTACAACTTTGGTATATAGGTAATTTAGGACATGTGAGATTCGCGATTGACTCCATGATCCATGATATTCGAGTATTTCTGTTTCGGGTCTGACGGATAATCTTCTATGCCTTATATATAAAAGCTTATTCGTTCTTTTTGCATCAGCGGACCTGGAGCAGCTCCTGTATAAGGCATC